AGCATGTATGTAGATCATAGTTTTGTAGTTATAGACAGCTTTTAGTTGGTAATTTTTTGGCATGTTTACCCAGGTACCCTGAAGCTATTACTGACCCTGCATACAAGGGACAGATCCTCACAATGGCCAACCCTATTATTGGAAATGGTGGAGCCCCTGACACTGCTGCACTGGATGAACTGGGACTTAGAAAATATTTGGAGTCTGATGGAATCAAGGTAGTACCAGGGATGACTATCTAAAACTTCTCAATTTGAGGGGGTATAGTTTACTTATTTTTAAGAATCTAGGATGGGCAAAGTTCCTTTATCAATGTTGTATTAATAGCACAAACCATTAAATTTATGCAGTTAATCTTATTCTTAGTTATATGAGAATAATCTTTAACTTGATATTGTTTTGAGTTTTATTTCTCAGGACACTTTGAATTTTAATACATTGGATGCAATTTGGCTTTATTTGGAAAAAAGTTGTTATAAGTCCAAATAACAATTATAAGAATCAGAGAAGAATTACCTTTTAAAAGGAGTTTGGTAGTCAATTCTGTATCAATTATTTGCCTTTTAATCTTATCCTCTTTAGAGGATGAATAAAAAGATTTTAAGTCTCGTATCAGTGGATATACATATACACACACGTATTTATATATGCCAGATGAAAAGTGAACACATTAAGATTTCCTACTCGAGGTAACTTTGGATAATATCTTAGGAATATGGGGCATTTAAACAATTCAAAACAATTCAAAAATTTACATTACAAATTCAGCACTCTATTTTTTCTACCAACCTATTTTTGAATGACTTGGACTGATCATTTAATTTAGCTCTCACGATTTCTCACAATTTTCCCACATTTCTCAATATTCTTGAAATCTAGATTAAAAATTATTTTATTCTTCATGTGCTTTAAACAAGTAATTATTAATTAAATTATTGATAAATGCCATGACAGAAAAGTACAGTGTGTCAAAAAGGGGGATCCAGCTTAGTCCCGGTATTTAGCAAGCTGGGTAAGCCTGCTCCCTCCTATGATAATTAAGGTAACAATTATATATTTCAAAGGAAAAGTGTTAATAACCATTTTTTCTTTTCTTGTCTTCAAAATTTTAAGTCTCATATCAGCAAGTATAATAAAGCTCTTTTAAAAATGGCAAACTGACCCTCCAGACAAGTCACAAGAATTGGATAGTATTTTGTGGTCACCCCTTTAAAATGACTGCCCATCTTTCTAGGTTGCAGGTTTGCTCGTGCTGAATTATAGCAAAGACTACAACCACTGGCTGGCCACTAAGAGTCTAGGGCAATGGCTACAGGAAGAAAAGGTGAGAAAAATGATAGGGCATCCATCATCACTTCGGGACGATTGGTGGGGTCTATGGGACGTTGAGAAGGTGTACGTATGTAGATTCAAAAGTTCCAAGCATAGAGGAAGATCATGCAGTGTGGGATCTTTCTATTTCAGAGAGTGATTCTTTCTCACTGTACACAGGCTGAACTGTCTGGACTCATCCTCCTTTAAATGCTGAGGACCACATATTTTCAGTTTATCCACTAGGTGGCACTCAGACATGCTTGGTAGCATTTTTCATTTGGGAAAGGGGGTAGAGAAAATTTTAGAATTTTCTATTCTCTCGAATAACTGAGAAGTCCCCATCCACTTTTATCCAGAATCTAGTTATGTTACTTGCTTCACGGGTTCTAGTACCAGCTGTGCTGTTAACTGGTCATGCAACTCTGTGCAGCTCACATAATCATTCCATACAACACTTTCATCAGTTTTAATTCTTATGAATATAAGCAGATTACCCTAAGTTATTTTTGGCTTAAATACTATGACATGATATAGGAAAAAAGTTATAAAACCTTATATTATACTTTTCTTACTTTAAATATTAATTTCTATTCAAATAAGAGGATTTGCCTTGTTTGAATGTTAGAAAGACTTAAAGTTAATTGACCCACTATATTTAGCTTCACCTCTAGTGCTGGTGTGGCTGCTTTTTGTTCAACTACTGATAGCCCTGTAATTGATAGAATATTATTCTAAGGAAGCTCTGCCTTCCAATGAGTGAATGAGTGTCTACCTATTCGGGCTAAATGTTGTCTCTTTCTGAGAAATCAAAAAGTCTTGATCTGGGTGGCTTCCTAGGTATCATTCTTCCTAAATTTTAAAAAGGAGAAGAATGCATCTGTATCATGCTTTGGGCCATCACTATTTTCTTCTAAACCAATATCTGAATTTATCTTCATTACTCAGACAGTTAATTTCTGTAATGGTCATTCAGGAGACTTCTTTAAAAAAAAAA